AATAAGAAAAATCTGACAAATATTGCTGAAATGAAAGAAGAGGTGGTCCGATATTGGGACAGCATGGACCACAACTTTCTAACTTCTTTGATCAGTAGTATGCCCCGCCGCATTGAAGCCTGCATTGCTGCCCATGGTGACTTGACAAAATACTAACTGTTCACCTGTCTTTGAATCTGGAGTTATGTTCTGCTAGTATTCACATTTAATACGTGAGTAATGAGTGAACAAAATATAAAAAATTACAATCTTTAAATTCTCAATAATTTATGGTTGTATTGTATAATAGTACGCCGATGATCTGAACCGTGTGAACTCCATATTTTACAATTTATAGGTCAGTGGTATATCTCCATCACCCAATTACGATTCAAATTTATATGTTATTCTTTGAGTATATCTACTCAGTATGTACACATACTGTTAAGTTCAAAGAACGCGAAACTTAAAGAGAAGCACATAATGAACGAACTGTTTTACAAATAGTCTTAATGCGACAACCGTCAGAGTTGATTGTACTACCACAAATCATGACCAAGCACCAGGTTTAGGAGAGGTAAGGAACCTGCAAGGTGTGACATATCGCTGACAAATTGCCCATAAATACTGCGAATACCTCCATATCTGTCTCAGTTACTAAGACTAATTGCCGTGTGCGTGTTATACGTACTGATCACAGGCTATTGTGACAATGGAATAGTTGATGGTAACACCTCAGTACATGACTGACGTGTGCTGCACGTGCCCCAGGGGAGGACCCCAGGTTAGGACCCCAGGTTACACATGCACATGTCACCCAATGACCCCGAGACCCCCTTCCAGCACGCCAATCTCCTCACATCCTGACCTAACGTTTCATAACAGCTGCCAGTAGTGTCTAAGAATACTCAGTGAACGCGTCACAACGTCGCCTCCAAAAACGAGCAACATTTGATTGATAGAGACATTCTCTTTCTTTCTGCTTTTCCTTGCTGAGAAATGTCATATCCATCAACCCAACTTTCTGTATCATTGTTATATATAGAAAATACCTATTCACTATTCGTATCTGTGTAATACTGTCAAGTCAATGGGTTTATGTATTCATAAATTGGGGTTCTCGAAAACTGGCCGCAAACATTTGTTATCTGCCGAGCAGTATATCTGATATTAGTGATATTAGTGTTATATACTATTAAATGTAAGTATTGCGTCCTCAGATCTGCTTGTAATTGTGTATTTGTTTTATTGGTTTTTCAAACTGATTTTATATATTAGACGGATTGGTAAAAAGTTTTGTTACTTAAATATGAAGTAACGGAGATAATGTTTAGTTGATATGCTGTCTATACGAGGGAACGCATCGTATGCATTACACATATTCATGAAAGCATTTTGTACATGAACAAGATGGAGGAACACAGTTCATACGATACTGAGAGTAGATCTGTTGTGACTATGTGAAATGTTTTGTCGATTTTATTTCCATTCATTTTATGGATGAATGAAGTTTAAATGTTACCTTTATAGAAAGTTTCACATTAAGCACATGAAGGAACGCAGTTTTTTTATTACTTCTAGTGAGAAACACATCTTGTGTAATACTTTTGTTAGAAGAACGTTGTTCAATATTACCTATATGGAATAGAGAAGCCTATGCATTACTTATACTGAACTACACCGATTCTATACAAACTTTTTGAAAGAACACCGCCAGTATACAACCTTACTGAAGGAATACCGTTTGTACCCTACCGGTATGGGGGAATGCAGTTCAGTGAAACGCTGAAAATGGAGGACCGCATTCCCATCTTTTTTGCATATTGAGGTAATCACTTGAAATATTTTGTATGGAAAGGAACGCACATGAAACGTCATAAATACTGAGGAGCGCATTTGAAGCATTTTATATGTGGAGGAACGCATTTAAAGCATTTTGTATATGCTGGGATACATCAAGTTCTAAACACTATTTATATGGAGGAACCCATTTGAAACATTCCGTGTAACTGGGGTAATGCACTATATATTTTACTGATGTGGAGGGAAACGGTTTTATACGTTACGTGTACGGGGGAACATAAGTATACACTACCTACATAGAGGAACTCATTTTACGTATGATGCTATGCAAGAACGTAGTTCATACATAACGTGTGTAATGGCGAAACACATGTTATACATTGCATACAAGGAGAATCACAGTTTATGCACTACCTGTTTTCAAGATCACATTTTAAGAAATAACTATGAAAAAGAAATACGCGTACACTTTACACGTTTGAAGAAAATGAGTTTGTACACGTCTTATATGGACGAACACAGTCTGAACAATGCCTGCATGTATGTGGGGGAACACAGGTTGTTATATACAATATTGAATATACGACCTATATTGAAGAGCACAGTACACTACCTATGGAAGACTGACTGACTGACTGACTGAGCTTGGTTTTACGCCGCTTTTACGCAATATTCCAGCAACATCACGGCGGGGGACACCAGAAATGGGCTGCACACATTGTGCCCATGTGGGGATTCGAACCCGGGTCTTCGGCGTGACGAGCCAACGCTTTAACCATTAGGCTACCCCACCGCCCCCCTATGTAACTACTTACATGAATAAACGAAGTTTTACTTTCATTTATGAGCACAGTTGGTGTATTAGATGTACAGATGACAAGGTTTGTATGGTTTGGTAACAACGTGTGTGACTAAGACAGTATGTGCACTACTTTCATGAAGGAACATAGCATATCATCTGTATTCAGGAACACTGTACTCTATGCACATTACGGTACACTTTTTGTTCAATACCTCTAAAGAGGAATACGATTTTACATCATTTAGACGAGAATGCAGTTTGTACAATGCCTAGATACGAACAAACACGGTTTGTGGAATGTTTATAAGAAAGAACACAGTTTGTATGCTACGTAGATGGAGGAACACATCATGTTCCTGTTGGTAGAATGGCCCTCATCGTAAAACCATAGCGGTAGCCTCTATACCTTCATCAGACCACTCTGACATTGTCCTCTTGATATGACCACTTTGACATTATTCTTTTGGCCTGGCCAGAGTGACAATATCCTCGTAACTTGACCAAAATAGCATTATTCTAGATCAGACCACCTTCACATTATCCTCTAGATCAGACCACCTTCACATCATCCTCTTGATATGACCACCTTGACATTATCCTCTTGGAAGGAGAACACTGACATCATCCCCTATGGCCGATCATCTTGACAGTATCCTGTAGACCAGCTAACTTTGAGAGTATTCTCTAGGTCTGACCACCTTGACATTATGGCCAGATGCGTTCACATTGACAGTATCCTCTGGAGCTACCACCTTGAAAGTACCCTCTCAACACTTCCATCTTGGTAGTGCCCTTTAGACCACATGATTTGAACATTATACTCTGAACCCGATCCCCATAACATCAGCCTCCGGAAGAGATCATCTTGACAGTGTTCTCTGGACCAATCACCTTGACAGAATCATCTACAAATGACTATCTTGACAAAATCATCTACAGATCACTATCTTGACAGAATCATATACAGATGACTATCTTGACAGAATCATATACAGATGACTATCTTGACAGTATCATCTTCAGCTGACTATCTTGACAGAATCATATACAGATGACTATCTTGACAGTATCATCTTCAGCTGACTATCTTGACAGTATCATCTTCAGTTGACAGATGACTATCTTGACAGAATCATCTACAGATGACTATCTTGACAGAATCATATACAGATGACTATCTTGACAGTATCATCTTCAGCTGACTATTTTGACAGAATCATATACAGATGACTATCTTGACAGTATCATCTTCAGCTGACTATCTTGACAGTGTCATCTAAGCTGCCCGATCAACTGAAGTGACTACATGTACTTGTACACAGTGTTTTGCAAATTAAACAAAGGTCATCAATATGTCCCTGAGATCCGAACACAAAACATTCAGATGTAGCTTATGATGTCCATGAGTGTCAGATAATGGAAGAAATAAAGCCTAGGCAAGATAAGTATGAAATAGCTTGACGATTCAATTCAGTTATTTTCAAAATGATCTGTTTGAACGTCACTTCAGAAGTTGTAAGTACAAAGAACTGTATAATAATTCTGGATAATAATAATGTTAAAGCCGCGTTCCAGGCAATATCTTACCTTTCTTGATCTATAACATGACACAGAATACACATACCGATCAACCAGGGGTGGTATAACTACAATAATGTTAAAGCCGCGTTCCAGGCAATGTCTTCCCTTTCTTGATCTATAACATGACACAGAATACACATACCGATCAACCAGGGGTGGTATAACTACAATAATGTTAAAGCCGCGTTCCAGGCAATATCTTACCTTTCTTGATCTATAACATGACACACACAGAATACCGATCAACCAGATGGTATAAGGGGTGGTATTAAAGCCGCGTTCAGGCTTTAGCTTTCACACCTGATACAGAATACCATTTGATCAACAATTGGTGTAACTTTGAAATCACAATCCATTTTTCTATACGATATATCCGACAAATAGTGTGTATAAGCCAAGTTGATTGTCGAACATGGTGTGTTTAAATTATACGATACCGAGCACAAAAATTATCTAAATCTAGCCAAAATTCTCAAATCCCAGTAAGCATTCAGACATAAAGACAAAACAAAAGATTAAACTCAAATTAGAAGTCGAAGAAATGGTTTAGCAGTCAGCGATCCCTATTCTGTTTGAAACTGATCGTGTGAAGTATGTTCGTGTCAAATTCTAGCGATGACATCCATTTCACCTGCAAAATTTAACCACAAATGTCAAAATATCTAACCCCACCACCTTCCCCCAGGCGTATTGAAATCATTCCCCCGCTCTGCAGAGAACATGTTCATTGTGGTAATGACCGAGGGAATATGTTTTTGGGTCTTTTAAAGTATATTCTTAGATTATAAACTCGATACCCGCAACCAGAAATGTAGGTAAGTCAACTTTAACTCACCTGCAGCGTCTCTGACAGACACGATGGCCGCTACACACAACCAAAAGGCGGTGGATCGCATGTCGTATCTGGAGATGTGCACTGTTCCAGCAACTCTGACAGGGCTTGACGTCTCGATAGGGACAAAACACACCTACATTGCCTGCCTTCCTGGCACGTGACGATACCTGCCTGACAGGCGATTAGCTGGGAGTTCTGCGAAGACAATGATGATCTAGTCCATCATTAGCCCATCAGTCACTGTCCACGTTGTCACGATTAACACAGTTGTATATTTTATAAATGTCCATGTAATGAGTAGTGTGCCTTCATTACAGGTGCGCGGTGTCGCGAGTTGACGCAAGAGGTGAGGTGCGCTGACCACTAATACGTTTTGAAACAAACCGACGCGTCGCAGTTAAACAGTACCAACGTTTACACAACAAGTTAGATACACATTAACGCACAGACGGGCAGGACAGTTACAAAAATCCTGGTAAAGCGAAAACTTACACAGAACTGGGTAGACATCAACAGTTAAACAGACCAATATAGAGACCTACACTTACACCGACCTGGGTAGACCCCAACAGTTAAACAGACCCAAAGTGAGACCTATACTTACACCGACCTGGGTAGACCCCAACAGTTAAACAGACCCAAATAGAGACCTACACTTACACGGACCTGGGTAGACCCCAAAAGTTAAACAGACCCAAATTCTGACCTACACGTACACGGACCTGGGTAGACCCCAACAGTTAAACAGACCCAAATAGAGACCTAAACTTACACCGACCTGGGTAGACATCAACAGTTAAACAGACCCAAATAGAGACCTACACTTACACCGACCTGGGTAGACCCCAACAGTTAAACAGACCCAAATAGAGACCTACACTTACACCGACCTGGGTAGACCCCAACAGTTAAACAGACCCAAATAGAGACCTACACTTACACCGACCTGGGTAGACCCCAAAAGTTAAACAGACCCAAATTCAGACCTACACTTACACGGACCAAGGTAGACCCCAACAGTTAAACAGACCCAAATAGAGACCTACACTTGCACGGACCTGGGTAGACCCCAAAAGTTAAACAGACCCAAATTCAGACCTACACGTACACGGACCTAGGTAGACCCCAACAGTTAAACAGACCCAAATACAGACCTACACTTACACCGACCTGGGTAGACATCAACAGTTAAACGGACCCAAATAGAGACCTACACTTACACCGACCTGAGTAGACCCCAACAGTTAAACAGACCTAAATTGAGACCTACACTTACACCAACCTGGGTAGACCCCAACAGTTAAACAGACCCAAATAGAGACCTACACTTACACCAACCTGGGTAGACCCCAACAGTTAAACAGACCCAAATTGAGACCTACACTTACGCCGACCTGGGAAGACCCCAACAGTTACACACAGATAGAAAACAGCTCGGAGGCATCGCCAAATAAGCACGACCCTTTCGACACACACGAATAGACAATATCAAATGAGCACGAGCCTTTAGACGCACACGAATAGACAATATCAAATAAGCACGACCCTTTAGACACACACAGAATAGACAACAATAATATCAAATGAGCACGAGCCTTTAGACGCACGCAGATAGACAATATCAAATAAGCATGACCCTTTGGACACACACGAATAGACAATATCAAATGAGCACGAGCCTTTAGACGCACGCAGATAGACAATATCAAATAAGCACGACCCTTTGGACACACACGAATAGACAATATCAAATGAGCACGAGCCTTTAGACGCACGCAGATAGACAATATCAAATAAGCACGACCCTTTAGACACACACGAATAGACAATATCAAATAAGCACGACCCTTTAGACACACGCGGATAGACAATATCAAATAAGCACGACCCTTTGACACACACACGAATAGACAATATCAAATAAGCACGACCCTTTAGACACACACAAATAGACAATATCAAATAAGCACGACCCTTTGGACACACACGAATAGACAATATCAAATAAGCACGAGCCTTTAGACACACGCAGATAGACAATATCAAATAAGCACGACCCTTTGGACACACACGAATAGACAATATCAAATGAGCACGAGCCTTTAGACGCACGCAGATAGACAATATCAAATAAGCACGACCCTTTGGACACACACGAATAGACAATATCAAATGAGCACGAGCCTTTAGACACACGCAGATAGACAATATCAAATAAGCACGACCCTTTGGACACACACGGATAGACAATATCAAATGAGCACGAGCCTTTAGACGCACGCAGAGACGTCTGCATCATCCTTTAAAAACTCCCAATTAGACAATATGTGACAAATTCATACAGATATTGTCAGACAGACACCTCCTTCAGACAGCGTGGAACTGCTATGCTCATTTGCAATAATATCTTGCAGAAATATTGACCGGAAAAATATATAGTGAAAACACCACAGGAGTTCACTTTACGTCGAACAATATTCCTGCAGTTCTAGCCTTTGGTGTGCACATTTCAATACTTATTACGTACAATCGCGCATTCTCTTTCTTCCATGATTTCAAACAGCGCTATACAAATCACGATCTTGAAAGTGTTGTTTGATCAGCGTTACACCATTCAAGGCCTCGGTATGATATTTGATAGACATATGGATGGCATTGTGTCTCCGGTTTCTTTAGGTAATCAACTAACTTGCCTCTGCGTGTGTTTGTGACGGAAGCTGTCAGTGGGACACCTGGCTCATGCTTATACAATACAACCTTTTTCAGCAGAGATTCTTTACTTATTTACTTACACTGGTAATTTTACTATTTGACATGCAAACATATTTTAGATAATATTTCAATTAAGAGACAAGATTAGTCTACAAGCACACGCCGTATTTATCCATCAGGCGTTGGTTTAGAACATATAGGTACTTTTATATGCAAAAAACATTGACTGTAGCTATGTTGTACTGACAAGACTTGATGTATGTGCAAGGTCATCAGGTTTCATTGTCACTATCTAATGCCTGTCAAAGTTGATCAATTGTGTTAGGTGGTTAAGTGGGCTGGGCTACTTGGTGCTCTGTTTCAGCTATATTTTGTATCTGTAATACAAGATTTATAAGCATTTGATTTTTACTTCTTTTCAGTTGTCAGCAAAACTATTTAGTGCCATCATTTTAACGCTTTCGTGACATATATGGGCACAAATATCGCACTGAAAAACCGAGGGTTCATAATTTAGGCGCCGCATACATGTTTTACATAAATTTTGCATTGTGGAAGTTACAGTATCAATAAAAACACATTATTACGTGTTAACCGGGAATCAGTCAAAAGAACCTAGTGTGAAACCAACAAAGCAATATGATATCATTAATAATTGCATTCTAAAATTTACTAGGTTAAGAGAACAGTACCAATCACTACAAAGGTATAACAGTGGCAGTACAACAGATACAAATCCTAAGCAGTTCAATACCAAACCCAGTCTGTTGCTATAGCAATAAAGACAATGATGGTGATAGTTATCTCACTGCAGCAATGGTTTCCAAGGTAAGAATGATCTTCACACAACTGTTGGTCCTCTTGTAACTTTAGATGTAATGCGAGGCAAGAGTGAACTCCCCTTAAACGTCTAGGAAAAGAACTCCACATCCCTGAGTCAGATTATACTGGAAAGGCCCATAAGGGTTGTAGTGCATAGTAGTACCTTCCAGAACTCTGTCTAAATATAGCTCAAGTCTAAATATAGCACACTACCGTGTTGGATTTCAACAAAACAATGTGTTACACTTGAATTGAGTGAGCGAGTTGGGTTTTACGCCGCTTTTAGCAATATTCCAGCAATATCACGGCGGGGGACACCAACAATGGACTTCACACATTGTACCCATGTGGCGGATCAAACCCGGGTCTTCGGTGTGACGAGCGAACGCTTTAACCACTGGGCTATCCCACCACCCCATTACACTTGGAACAGTGTCATATCATGAATATCACTGCAACATAAAAACATTGGTTAAAAGATTTCAACTTCTTTATAATTCTTTTAATCCGCTGCAGACACGGGTGGTAGTCCATCTTGCCCCTATACATATTTCTTTTTAAAAACACCAATTTATAATATATAATACAAAACATAAGTCAACACATCATCAGCGACTACGTAGGTGGTTGGTCCACCCCTCTCTGTGCAACACACGTTAACGACTTATTAGAGGTGGTAATCCTAATAAGATTAAAAGTTCTTTTTAAGTGTGTTTTTGTAATTCGGAAGGCTTAAAGATTCATCGGTCGCGTGAGTTATCAGACAAAATAACTCATCGTGAAATACATATCATTCGCTAGAACGAAAGTTACCGTTATAGAAATATTCAACAACTATGAAATATGCAGTCAATCGGTACAAGAAATATTAAAGCCCGCTGAGGTGGCACTTATGTAGAGAGTGACAGATAAACCCGTTTTGTTTCACACTTTGTTTTTTTTCAATCGAATAGTTTCAGTCAGTTGAAATTATTGATACATAAGCACTGGTTCAACTCGCCGTATCTTCCTTCATGTCATTAATGTAAGAATAAAAAAGCCGTAGGGTTTCTTCAGCAACGTACGGTTGTCTTCAATGGAGACACGCGGCATTGATAGAAAGGCTCAGTTAATCTTCACCCTGCGGCGTGAGACGGTGCTCACATTATCAATCACTAATTTGTCCAGACTCGGATATTTATAGGCAGATGCCATATGGCAATATACCTCCTATAGTGCAAACTTAAACAACAGACACACCAAACCACAAACAATACATGGGTGTCCTCCCATTTGCGAGAACTCCCAGTTGTGAGACACATTAATTAATGGTTCAGTGCACACAGGTGGTGCTTCCCCATCCCTACGATGAAAGTGGGAACAGCCCTGATGCTGAAGAGTACCCGCAGGAGGCATAGTTCATTGATGAGTTGATTGGTCCAGTGGTTGAAACGCTTGCTAGTTACTCCCAATGCCCGGGTTCAATTTTCAGCATGGACACAATTTGGAAGGCCCATTCCCCGTGTCCCGTGTGTCTTGATATTGTTGTAGATGTGCTAAAAAAGGCGAAAACACATTC